GCTAACAATATAACCATATGCTTATTAGACCTACAGATAATAAGATAAAAAACTTACCTGTTAGATAAGAGGTAAACTGCTTTGGACCACAGCGAATAGCATAACGTGTGGTTGTTCTCACAGCTTTAGGCTCAGTCTGCACAGCATCCTTGGGACAAAAGAGGGTTCCATCTGATGTTTCTCCCCACCATCTCACTCGGACAAGTACACAAGTGGGAGGCTTTGCAATCTTCCATATGATTTTATTAATAGTAAGTTTTAGAAAGCAGCGTAGCTGGCCTTCAACCAGAGGTGGTAGACTTGTAGATGGAGAAATGTCACTCAAACCTGTGGAATAATCCAAGAACACGGAGTCAAAATTTAAATTAAATACCAAAAAAATGAATGAAAAACAAACAATGACACTTTTGTTTCCATAGAGAGGCTTATCCTACCTATTCCAATACATGACAAAAAAAAAACACCTCACTGCCATCAAGTCAATTCTGACTCATAGTGACTCCCAATGGGTTTCCGAGGCTGTAATTTCTTTATGGAAGTAGATCACCCCATCTTCCTTCCATGGAGCAGGTGGTGGGTTTGAACTGCTGACCTTCTGGTTAACAGTCAGATGCCTTTACCCACTACACCAGCAAGACAAGTAACTAGCAAACCAGGCTATGAAATAACCTACGTGGTTCTTTAAGCCACCCTGATTGTTGTTGCGGGAGCTAGTTGCTCTCAAGCTGATTGCAACTCATGGCAACCAGGTCTATAGGGAAGAACTGTTTCATAGGGTTTTCAAGGCTATAACTTCTTGGAAGCCAGGCCTTATACTTCCAAGGTGTCTCTGGGTGGTTTAACACATAACCACAGTAGTCTAGCACATAACCATTTGAACCACTCAGGGACTGCAACTACCCTGATAACCATTTAATGTGTAGGTTTTGAGTCAGGTTATTCTAAATAAGGAACACACTAACTTCAAACCAAATCAAATTCACTGCCATCGAGTCGATTCTGACTCACAGAGACCCCCACTGGCTTTCAAAGGCTGTAAATCTTTACTGAAGTAGATTGCCTCACATTCCTCCTGTGAAGCAGCTGGTGGCCTTGAACTGCTGACCTTCTGGTTAGCAGCCAAATACCTTATCCACTATGCCACCAGTGCTCCTTCATATCAACTTAAGACATACTAATACAACCCTTCAAGCCTGGAACTGAAATCCCCGTGGCTCAACTATCAGCCAAACAATAAACAAGCCTATAAGGTGAACAGTAATACCAGACAGATACACATTCATTAGAACAATCAACCATATGAGATCAAAATGGCAGCATTTGCCCAGAGGTAAAACTAAGAAGGCAGGAAAGGATAGGAACAGGACAAAAGGAAATGTTAAACACAGGGAGAACTGTGAAGAGTGCTATTACATTCCGGGGTTTGCAAAGAATGTCACAGGAACAAAATGTGTATGAATCATTGAATGGAAAACCAATTTACTCTGTAAACTTTTACCCAAATCACATTTTTTTAAAAAGGACATACTAAAGACATACTAATAGAAACTCCTCTTTAATTGACAGCTGCTATCTAAAAAATACAAACATAATGATACAAGCTTTTAAAATCTCAGAAGTAGTTGAAATTTTTCTGCCAATTACCCATGTTTTCATTATGGCAACATACATGGTTTTTAAGATATGTGTTATCTTTACCTAACTTACTCACTTATTTTAAAAACCATCAACTAAACACAAAGCAGCAGCAAATCCCTTTACTAAACTCCCAAACAATTTAGTCCATACCACACAATTCAACATTTCAATAAAAACCATCTTAAACTGGGTCTTGTCTCTCCCACCAAGATCATAATGTCAATGAAGGCAGAGACCACCGTCTTTAGATTCTGTCACTACCTTTTAGTACATTGCTGGATTCATAATATTTATTGGCTTTCAGAAAGATAACAAATCAAAATGAGGCAATTAATCATGACTTTCTATAAAGCTTTCCTTTAATGACCTTGATTGTCTTCCATTCACAGTACCATTTCACTATCTTATTCCTCTGACTTTCCACTTTTAGAATGGTCATGCTTCACAAGAAGAAAATACACTTAAACCAGAATCTATCAGATCAGGAATCTACGCAAGTAATTCTTTGGACTTCTAAAGCAAATACCTTTTTCTGCCCTTTAGAAACGGAAAAAGCCCCACCATAATCTCCATGGTAAATTATCTTTAATATAAAAAATTATACACAGGTGTTATATGTGCATTATTGCATATGCATTTGTTATAAGAAGAAGGACACTATTTTCTGTATGATACTTGTTATTTCTACTTTCATTTTTTCTTGTAGCATTGAAATGCTTGACTGATTTGCAAAGGAAACATAGCATTGATCCCCAGATCACATCTGGCAGGAAAAGCACTGCTTCAGAACTGCCTTAGTTACCTTTAAGCACCTTGGATAGATTCTTTCTCACTTCTCAGATAGTAGCTTCAGCCTTCAACCCAATGGCTTTAAAGTACTATTCCTAACATTCTTTCTTCACTGTCATTAGTTGCTGTCAAGTCGATTCTGATTTACAGTGATCTCATGTGTGCTGAGCAGAGCTGCTCCATCAGGTTTTTAAGGCTGTGACCTTTGAAAGCAGATCACCAGATGTCTCTTCTGAGGTACCTCTCGGTGGGCTGGAACCACCAACCTTTCAGCTAGTAGTTGAGTGCCTAACTATTTGCATCAACAAGGTGCTTCAAAAGTGTCCATAATATGAAAAAAGAAAGTCATCTCATTTTCTTTTTTTCTTGGAAGCAGCCCTGTAGAGATCCAATTTCCAGTTTTCTGATCTACCCTGGGTTCTTAGGGTGATTGTTTTTTCACTATAGCTTTCCCCTTTGGCCAGCCTGTTTCTCCATGAGGGTCCTAACCTCAGTCACTTGCCCTCTAACCCTCCCGGCCTAACCCACCTCATGTCCTTCAGAAGATCCTGCCTTCACTCCCACTCCACCCCATCATACCTTTTCACTACTCCCGTTGGTGTCAAGTATAATCTGACTCATAACCAGAAAAACCAAACTCACTGCCGTCAAGTCGATTCTGACTCATAGCAACCCCTCCCTGGGTTTCTGAAGCAGTACCTCTCCTTTTGAGGAGCGGCTGGTGAGTTTGAACTGGCAGCCTTCTGGGTAGCAGTCAAATGCCTTAGGCACTATGCCACCAGAGCTCCTAATCTGACTCATAGCAACTCTATTTTTTTCAATTTGTTACCCACTCCCCACTCTTTTCTCCCTCTCCTTTCCAGGACTCCCACTAATAGGTTTCATTCATTCAACTAATGTTTATTGAGTCCTGCTTTGTGCTAGTCCTTGGGGAATTCAATAACGTATAAACCATCCTTGTGCACTAACATACTCTTATCTCCAAATTATGTTTCCTCGGGCCCCCTGATAGATAGAAAGAGATTTGGGTGAAAGTTTACAGAACAAATTCATTTTTCATTCACCAGTCCACACACATTTTGTCTTATAACACTGATTGCAATCTCTATAATGTAACAACTCTCCTCCCACTTTCTCCCTGTGCTTACCTTTTTCCTGTGTCCTTCTTTCCTATGCATTTGTGCTCTCTGAGCTACCTCCCTGTGCAAATACTGCTCTTCTGATCGCCCATGGTTGCTTGTTCTAAGGAGTGTACCTACCTGTGATAATTGTTCACTTTGTAGGACTATCTATTGTTGGCCTGGAAGCCACAGGAATGAGTTCAATTCCAGGCCGGAAGGGTGACTAGGTGCAGTAGTCTAGTGGACTTCACCAGTCTCCATCAGACCAGTCAGCCTGGTCTTTGAGTTTTGTTCCACATTTTTCTCCAACTCTATCCAGGATCTCCTATTCTGATCCGCTTTCAAGTGGCTGACAGTGATAAGGGCTGTAAATTTTTACGGAAGCAGACCGCCTCATCCTTCTCCCACGGAGTGACTGGTTGTTTCGAACAGCTGACCTTTTAGTTAACAGCCAGATGCTTTAAGCACTGCGCCACCACAGCGACACACACACTCTCTCACACACACGTTTCATTTTGTTATTAAAGACACTCCTAGAATTTTCTGTTTCCCTCCCCTAGGCATTTCCTACTTGTACTCTTTGAGCTCTCACCAGCCCACTGGTTCCCGTTTTTTGCCTCCTCACCCAATGCCTATTTACTTCTCATTCTCTGGAGGTCCTTTTAACTTTTTGACTCCTTGGTTATTCTCCCTTTTCCGTCCCTTCTTTGTTTTACACCCTGCTGCTTGCCCAAACCCTGTCCAGTTATGCTCTCCTTAGCCTTTGGTCGCTCAGGTTACCTCTCTTCTTGCGGCCACGGCAAGCCCCAGGTCCCTGGCCTTTTCGTTGTTTCATGCCGAGCCCGAGCTCTTTTCCACCAACTTAGATCCGAACCCGGCACCGACGTCTTATCCTCCCGCCATCCCTTCCCACGGCGCCAGTGTTCCCCGGCAACTGGCGCCGCTGGGCAGCTTGGGAGGAAGGAAGAAGGGACTCTAACAGTCTCTAGGAAGCAGTGAGAAAGGAAGGCGCCAAGACACTTTCTCTCTAATAGACTACAATACCCAGGATGCTTTGCTACGCTACCTCTGATGGCTAGGAGGCGGTCACCTCCCGCTGCGCAAGCGTGAAGATCTAGGCCCTTAGAGGACTCCATTGCCCAGTGTGCATTGCCTTCTGGAGCGCTCCTCTTTTCGGCAGGGTCGTCGAGTTCTCCACTTGGGGTTCGAGCAGTCCTCAGACTCCGTTACCCAGCCTCCTTTGTGGAAGTGCTGTTGCGCACTTCCGGTGGAGGCGCTGAAGAGAGGGGGTGGAGTTTGCGGAGCCGGTGGGCGGTAGGCGGTGCTGCCGGTAGCTGGGGGTTGTCTAAAGGCAACAGGGCGTCGCTAGGGGAGCGATCTGTGACCGGTTGGGCCACACTTAGCGTGGGAAGAAGGTTCGGCTGCTGTTTGGCTACGTGCGGCCTCGCTTTCATGTCGGCCCTCGAGAAGAGCATGCACCTCGGCCGCCTGCCCTCTCGCCCTCCTCTGCCCGGCAGCGGGGGCAGTCAGAGCGGAGCAAAGATGCGAATGGGGTACGTGACCCATACCCCTTCTCCCTAGAGGCCAGGCCCCGGCCATTGGCGAATGGCGTTTCTGGGCTGTTAGAGTGGCACGGGAGGAGAGACTAAGGATAGGAGAAAATGCTGGTAGCGGCCTGAGGGAGATTTGGATGAAGTAGAAGGCAGATCTGGGGGACTAAGGGAGTCGCCAGAGCAATGGATATTGGAGGACATAATCAGAGAGTGGCTTGACGGAAATTTAGAGGAATAGCGATGTTGACGGGAAGGGGAATGAGGGAAAGATTAGGGAATCTGAGAGGATAATTTAAGGGATGTGAGAGATACCTTCAGAGGAAGGAATGAAAGTGGTTTGAAGAAAGGGAGTTGAGCCGTGACAAAGGTGGGGGAAAATCTGCCTGGGAGTGTTGAAGGAAATACAGAATGACTGAGAGAAAAGTTGAAGGGAATTGAGGGAACAACTAGGGAAAGGTTTGGGAATAGTATGAAGGCCGTGAGAACTTTATCTTAGAAAGCCGAGGGGAGTAGGGAGCACCTGAGGAGGTTGGGAAAAGAAAGTGGAGACTCAGGAGCAGAAGGTTCTAGACACAATTCCCAGAGGTATAAGAGACAGATTCAGGGAGTGAAGGGTAACTAGAGATTAGGTCTCTTAAGAGTGAACTGAGAAAGCTTGGAGAATAGGCCTAAGGAAAGATGAAGTTAGTTAGGATGATTGTTAAGGGTAATAGGAATGTTCTGAGAAGATGAGAGGAATAAGGGGAGGAGTGATGACAGAAAGGTCTGAGGACCTTAGAGAGTGACCATGGGCCCTAGGGATTGAGAAATGACTAAGAATAGAATTTAGTGAATGGAAGTGCTGCAGAGGTGAGGTCTGGGAAGCTTTAAGAAAAAGATTTAGATAGTTGGTTTTTGCTGGCTAAGTTGCTTTGAGGGAAACTATATACTGGCCTTAGAAGACTCAGAGACGTTGTGAAGCATTCAGAGTAGCCACTTAAAATGTTTGGAGAAAACAATTTTCTGGAAAGGGTGGAGCTGTGTTGAAGAGAGAAATTTTGTAATTTTAGGTCATTGAATGGTTTGTGCCAGGTTTGGGGATACTTGTTGTTATGGGCCGTCGAGTCGGACCCGACTCATAGTGACCCCTCATTGGGTTTCTGAGGCAGTATCACTACGGAAGTAGATTGCTCCATCTTCTTTCCAAGGAGTGGCTGGTGGGTTTGAACCGCCAGCCTTCTGCCTTCTGGTTAGTAGTCAAGCGCCTTAGGCACTGCGCTACCCCAGAGCAAGGTAAGCTAGTGTATGAGTTGAAGTGATGGTTGGTGATAGCTAGAAAGAAGAGGCATTATGCTGGAAAGCAAAGGGAGTTGAATAAGCAATTGGGATTGAGGGGTATTTGTAGTATCAGAATTCTGGGGACTAGTGATGGTAGAAAAGTAATAGGAAGGATACTTAGGTATGAAGTAGTCCAGAATGTGTGTTTAGGACTCCAGAGATGAGTTGGTTGATATTCTGGAAATGAGGACTAATGAAAAAAACACCTTAGGTTCTGAAGAAATAATAATAGTACACAGAAATTGATCTAAAATGAAATGAAATGAGAATGAGAGATGCAGTACTGTGGAATTAGGTCCTAGGAATGAAGGAAAAGAAGAATCCTGTAAATTAAAACAGTAGGATAGAGAGGAGGAGGTGGGAATGGTTGGAGAAATCAATGTTGGAAACTAAGAATTAAAGTGGTGGAAGAAATGAGAAAACTTTGACAGGAGATAGACTGATGAGTTCATAATAGAAAGAGGTGTGGTAGAAGGCTATATAAAAGATAAAATGAAGATTGTTTTGTCATTAGAGGAAAGAAAGGTGGTACTGTAACATGAATAAAGAGAATCTGGAAACCAGGGCTTTGAACCACTTCTTTCAGGTTCAGCTCCCAACTGAGAATTTGCATTTCCACCCCAGATATACTGAATCAGAATCTACATTTTAATAAGATTCTCCAGGTGATTGTTATGTATATATCACCTGGGGATCTATCAAAATCACCTGTAGGTTTTGAGTCAATGTATCTGTAGTGGAAATGCAGCTTCTCAGCAGGGGCATCTGTTTGAACTGGTTCAAGATCTAAGGGAAATTGTCCCATTACAAATTATTTGAGAAATTAACTTGGGGTATAAAATTAGTATAACACTTACTGTTGATCTGTATCTTAGTTGCTGCCTTTCTTAAACTAAAATTTCATCTTTTAGTACACCAGCATTCTCTCTGTATAAATATATAAAGATATTTTTTAAAATAACTATATGTGCTTTGTTGTTGTTATGTGCCCGTCGAGTCGGACTCAACTCATAGTGACCCCTCCTTGGGTTTCCCAGGTGGTATCACTACGGAAATAGATTGCCCAGCCTTCCTTGCGAGGAGTGGCTAGTGGGTTTGAACCACAAGCCTTTTGGTTAGCAGTCAAGTGCCTTAGGCACTCTGCTTTGTTGTTGTTGTTATGTGCCTCGAGTCCACCCGACTCTTAATGACCCCTCCTTGGGTTTCCGAGGCAGTATCACTACAGAAATAGATTGCCCCATCTTCCTTCCGAGGAGGTAAGTGTAATTAGATCTCAGCTTCTTACCTTGTCAAAACCAGCTGTCTGAAGAACTAGTGGAGGAGAATACCATGAGAAAATAAAGGAGAAATCTGCTGATTAGGGGGCACAGTGCCTAAGGCATTTGACTGCTTACCAGAAGGTTGGCAGTTCAAACCCATCAGCCATTCTGTGGAAAGAAGACTGGGCAATCTACTTCCTTAAAGAATTACTGCCTGGGAAACGCACTGGTGAGTTGGAATTGACTTGATGGCAGTAGATTCAGTTTGTTTTTTTTTATACTTGTTAGTAACTAACCTTTTCAGAGACTTGTTATCTTTAAATAGATGCTGTTTACTTGATGATTTAGTTTAACCACTTATTCTGAAAAATAAACTTCTTTAGGAAGATGCTGGTTTTTGGTAGTATAGGGAAGAGAAGAGCATAGTTTTACATATATTGGCGAATTTTATGTTCTTAAGTGTTTATTTTCCTTTATTTTTGTTTTCTGCTTCCTTTTTGGTACATTGGCAAGACCTCACCTAAGTTTAACCTTAGTGATGGAATGGACTGTCTTCTCTAGAATCATAAAGCTAGATAAGAGCTTAAAAGTGATCTTATTTCACTGCTTAATTTTATAGTTGAGGAAACTGAAACCCAGAGAATTCTCTGTTCTGTGAGGTAAGCTGTTGTTGTTATGTGCCGTCGAGTCGGACCCGACTCATAGTGACCCTCCTTAGGTTTCCGAGGCGGTATCAGTACAGCAATAGATTACCTAAGCTTCCTTACGAGGATTGGCTGGTGGATTTGAACCTTCAGCCTTCTGATTAGCAGTCAAGTGCCTTAGAGACTAAGCTACCAGAGCAAGGTAAGCTAGGACGGGGGAAATACTTTCTCTTGGTTCAAGAGAAAACTGAGACTTAACTATTCCTGCTTTTAGGCAGGAACTTAGTGGTAGGGCCACTAAGGACTAGGACTTGGGTCTCTTGACTCAGACCTATTTTGTTTGGATTTATGTTTGTTATCCTGGAGCTCTGGTAGCATAGTGGCTAAGGCACTTGACTGCTAACCAGAAGGCTGGCGGTTCATACCCACCAACCACTCCTCGGAAGGAAGGTTGGGCAATCCTACTTCCGTAGTGATACTGCCTCGGAAACCCAAGGAGGGGTCGCGATGAGTCAGGGCTGACTTGAAGGCACATAACAACAACAACAACAACAACAACAACATCCTGAAAATACTTAATTTGAGTTATCTTATTTCATTGAAAATACTCTAGGATTCAGTCTTTTTCCTCAGTCATTCCTGATTTATGAAGTGTCACTACCACCAATTTCAAAGCATGCCTCTTTATTTTTCCTTCCACTTTCTTTTTTTGTGTCATCCCCTTTTTTCCATTTCCACATCTGTCTCTATCAAGTTAGTGTTTTCTCTCGATAGTCTCTCATATGACTTAATCTTTCAACTGTTTTTCATTATCTCTTGCTTTCAATTTCACTAAAACTTATTTATGTAATTTTAGATAAAATTTGTCTTGAGTTTTTATAATCCACATTACCAGATTGGATTTACTTAATTTCAAAGTATTGCTGGATAATAGCAGTTACGCTTTTTTTTTTTTTTTGCAGGGGAGAGTGGGGGTATCCGTACTATGTGCTAGGCTTCATAGTAGTATGTTATGTATATTATTTAATCTACCCAAAATCTTATGAGGTGAATATTTCCTTGCATTTACAGGTAAGAAAATTCAGACAAAAAGATTAAAGGTCACTCAGCTAGTATGCCACAGAGCCAAGATTCAGTCTAGGTTTTATCTCTAGAATCAGTTTCCTTATTGGTACACCACTTTGTCTTGAAATGAGAAAATGAAATTCTGGTTACATTATTCTTTGATAGATGCCTATAGAAGTTGCCAAAAAATAGTTTTGGGATTTTTCTTGGGTCCGTACTTGCTTTGCACCCCTGGGGCACTTGAGAGGAATATGTTTGAAAATGACTGCTTAGTACATTTCATTACCTTTAGAAAAACTATAGAATATTAAAATCATTCATTTTTTGACACTTTCTTTTTAGTCAATAGTACAGTTAGTGCCCAATTTACAACGGGATTCCATTCTGGCAATTTCATTGTTAAGTTGATTCTAATGGAAGTCAAATACCTCTTTTTTCTTTAGTTTTTGTTATTACTGCCTTTTATTGTCCATTTCCTTATAGATCTGATCTTTGAACATCTACAAGTGAACATATGGGAATGATAATGGGCACTAAATTACATGCTGCAACATTATATATGGTACATAATACTAATAATAAGATGTACAAAAGAAAATCAGATGATGGCAAGTGTGGTTGCTCGTAACTCAAATATGATGTAAGCTGGAGACTACCTGTATTACTTTTCTATAGTGCTTTATGTCTTATGTTCCAATAGTCCCATAACTGACGT